ACAGCATTTCAGGACTTATTTGCTTGCCTAAGAGTTTTATAGAGAGCTTGAGAGCAGTTCAGAAGGTGGAGATTAAAAAATGCCTGGAGCTTACTTGTTTATGGGAGGAAGGTACCGAGATAGAAAACCTTGCTCGTCTTGAGATAATGAACATAGAGAGCTGTCCTCTACTTGTTTCATTAACGGGGAAAGAACAGGGCCTTCTTCGTTTCAATCTTAAACGTTTCACCCTCTCAAGCTGCAAGGCTCTAGAGTCATTGACTGATGCGATGATGATGGAGGTAGATGGAAGCAGTAGCAGCAACAACATGTTGAGACTTGAATCATTAAGCATCTACAATTGTGATTCTCTCAAGTCTTTACCCAATACCACGGTTAAACACTCCACAATTAATAGATGTGTCAATTTTGAGTCTTTACCCAACACCACGGTTAAACACTCGACAATTAATAGATGTGTCAATTTTGAGTCTTTACCCAACACCACGGTTAAACACTCGACAATTAATAGATGTGTCAATTTTGAGTCTTTACCAGATGGAGTATTATTGCAAGATGATGGTGACAGCAATAGCAATCTTGTATCTTTGACAATAGATGGACTTCCATCTCTAAATTCTGTTGAGAGTGGTAATCTGCCAGCTTCTCTCAAGGAATTTATTGTTTATAATGGCAAGAGGTTGGAATCATTTCCAGAGAGGCTGCTGCAACATTGTAGGGGACTTGAATCCATTCGAATTGGGGATTGTGAAGTATTGAGAAGCTTATCACTTGATGGCCTCAGCAATCTTCGTGATTTGGGGATTAGCAAGTGTGCACTTTTAGAATTCTTCCCAGAGATGGGCCTCTCCTTGCCCAATCTTAGATCTTTGAGCATTGAAGATTGTCCACGGTTGGAGCGCATTCCAGATGCGGGTTTGCCCTTAAACTTAACAGCGCTTGAATTAAAAAATTGTCAGAATCTCAACTCCCTACCAAATACAATGAATGAGCTTACATCGATTCGGAACCTGAGGATAAATGATTGTCCAGGCATCAAATCCATTTCAAATTGGGGTTTTCCCCCAAACTTAACAGATCTTGACTTAGACGGTGAGCATCTGAAGCAGCTGGCAGTGGGACGGGGCCTCCGCAATCTTACCTCTCTTCATGGCTTTAACACGTGTCATCCTCCGGATATTGTGCTTCCTTCTTCTTTAACATCTCTCTGGATGCATAAAGCAAAGAATCTGAAATCCATACCTAGTGGGCTCTTCGAAAACCTCAACTCTCTTCAATTTTTAGGGATTTATTGGTGCCCAAAACTACGGTCCTTGCCGAGGAAAGGCCTGCCACCGTCGCTTGTACTTCTCTACATCGTTGGGTGTCCGCTTCTAAAACGACAACGCTTTGAGGAGAAAGGAGAATATTGGTTTCTCACCCGTACCATCCCTTACGTCGAAATAGATACAAACAAGGATAGCTTCCTCTTCTTCTTCTTCTAATTGTTGGAAGCTAACTTTTCTTACACATATTCATCAGCTATAACCACCAAAGCCAATTGTAAGTTAAGTGAAATTTGGAATGAAGCTACAGACTTATTATTGAGGTATATTCTATCCTTTTTAATAGCTTAAATTATATATACATATATTGTTGCACTACTTCTCTATTTATTGATAAATTTAAATTTGGAGAGCTTGATTCCCTTTCCCAACTTACAATTATTTTCTTCTGAATTATGGTCCTAAAATGGTTTATACTTTCATTTTGTTTTTTCAGATTGTTGGAAAGTGAATTTGAGTGTTTTGCACTAGGCATTAAGGATGGTTTCCTTG